AAAATGGTGCAATTAGTCTAGACAGTGGCAGCTTGGGCTTAATGTCTCAAGGCAGAGTGGGCAAGAAAAAGCAACGTTTATTTTTCATTTTTGGTTGTTTACGTATCTGGGTGCATTTTGTTACACAATCCTAATTACACTTGTTATTAACCGGTCATTTACTTACTTTTGACTCAATTTGAAATCAAAACAATTTTTTTTATTTTATATTTAATTTCTCTTATCTTAAAGTGAAAAGATTATGAAGTTAAAATTATGTATAAACCAATTTAAATTCTACCAATTTGAATTTGAAAGTATCAAAAAACTTATAAGTGAAAACTAATAATTTTAAAATGTTCAGAAGGAATATCCCACTATTTGATAGAATTTTTGAATAATGTAATTAAATTTGATCTTTGTCGAGTCCACCAGAACAAATATTTTCCAAAGTCGACCTTCAACCATCATAATAAATTTCTCCATTCCATTTAACAATGAGAAATGGGGACAACAAATTCACCAATTGAGACAAAGGCAAAATAAATAAATAAAAATAAAAATCAGACCTTTCCCACTACCAAAAACAAGCTGACAAATACGCAAACTGTAAATACATCGTGCAAATTGATAATAAACAATAGCCCTCACAAAACCTTTCCAAAATTAATCGTAATACCACTCTATTTTGTAATGCTGAGACTTCCTCAACCTTTGAGAAAATCAGCGACCGGAGCAAAAGAATGATATAAACAGCTTCACAACTAAATCAAAAACAATAAAACCCAAGATTCAGCACTTGAGTGATGAAATTGTTGTTTGCTTCCATAAGCACGCAACCAAAACAAACACAAATATTTTATGAAGAAACCTGCAAGAACATATGTTAACTGTGATTCAGTAAAGGAAAAAGTATATGATGCGTTAGAATTGGGTTGTGACTCGAATTCTTGTTGAGTATTTTGATTGGAAGTACTGTTGGAGTAGTATTGAGAATTTGCAGTAGACTTCAAGAAGTAGTTCAAGAAGGAAAAGGAGAAAGATTTCCTTTTTTGGCAATTTTTCTAACTCCTATTTCTTCCCAAAAGTTCCATTATTGGTGTTACCTGTTGTATTGGGACTTCACATTATCTTAAACTCATCATTTATTAGTTTTTCTAGTATGTTAGGGATTAATTGGTTATAAATATGTAGTGTACAACACATATTGGAATTGATCAATTGTTCAATTAGTTATTGGTCAAAAAAGATTATTTCTAACTTCTTCTATTGATTATACTAAATTCTCCGCCCGTGCCCGTGGTTTTTCAAATTTGGGTTTTCACGTAAATTTTGTTTTTTTTTTTTTTTGTAATCCATTATTTTCATGTTATCCATATTTTTTCGCTCTTTAATAATTTGGACCAATTATAACAAGGGGTATCAGAGTCAAGTTTTTGTGATTTTTCGAAGGGCTAAATTGGTTGTTAAAGCGAGGTTTGAACAAGGTTGATTGTTTCAGGGATGGCAAGTATGAAATTTGAGTTCTGCCTTTGGATCGTAACAAGATTTTTTTTGTTTGGATACTGAAGGAAAATCAATGTAAAGATTGGTTATATATTTTGAAAGGTTCAATGATCACTATAGATGCAACTGCAGCTTATGATTTGATAAGCGGTGACTCATGTGAAGTCGGTTGTGATCAAATTGTTTGTGGTGATTCGAACAATAATATTGGAGAATCTTCTAATAGCTTAGATGAAGCTACTTGTGATCTTGTCGATTATGTTGCTCATGGTGATTTGGGTAGATTTGACAACTCGAGTAGAGTTAGGGATGACAATCGGGCTTATCGCACTCAGGCCGTCAGTTGCTCGGTCTGGAAAAAGCCCGAATTGGCCTCGCTCAAGGCTTGGTGGAACCAACCCAGTTTGGGGTGCCAGGCTGAGCCCGAGCCAGCCCGTGTGATTTTTTCGGCTCGAGCTCCAGCCTATATATTAAAAAAAAAAAAAAAAAAATCAAAAGGAGTAGCCTTCTGCCTTAGAAAAAAGAAAAAAAAAAGGAAAGAAAGAAAAAAAAAATGAGCCCGCCTGGCTCGGTAAGGCCCAAGCCTAAATTTCTTGGTCGAGCAAAAGCTCGGCTCAACTCGGGCTTGCAAAAAAGTTCAGATCATTTTACCGAGTCTCAATGTTCAACTTTATCCTACCTCAGCCTTAAATAACGTTCAACTATAATCACAGCATGCCTCAGCAACTCGTAGGTCCAGGGCTTCGGTTTCAAACAAAAACTTCAGTAATCATAACTAGTGGCTCGACAGTTCTACAATGTACTACCTTGGCTTGAAATTAATTTCAGCAGCCAAAACACGACGAGTTTCGATAGCTACGAATTCTAAACTCCAACCATAATATAAATATCTATACTTGGATTTGGGAGACTATTATTAGAGGTCTAAAATTTTTTCAAAATATTTGCCCAACAAAGCTTAGAAAGTTCTACTCAAATATTGAAGTCCAACCATGACATAAAAAACTATACTTGAATTTGGGGGACTATTGTTACATTTTATCACAAGTAGCTCTACATGATTGACCCATTGTAGCCTTTTCGCCACCTAAGCCGAGGCATGTGGCATGGTAGGCGAGGCCCCTAGGCCTGTAAGAAGCAACCAGAGTCAACGTCTCAATCGAGGCTCAACATCTCCGATCCCGAAGTGCACTGCCCAAGGCGGTTCACTTTGAGGCCCATGAACCGAGGCTATCACTTCCGAGGAGCCTTCAATATCGCTCCCTCCAAGAGATCTGCTCCTTCAGAAGTATCTTTTTCGAATGATTGATGTGATGTCTATCATAGAGTTCAAGTATCAAATCTTGTCAAACAAAGTGGTTGTTTTACCACTTAATATATGTAAAGCAGGCTAACAAGGCAAAAGTGATATCCAGGATTAGATGTATGGATTAAGGAGATGAAGTCACGTGTACTCTCATCCGAGGGCTACAATTCATCTTGCATTACTATAAATACTCCCTCATATCACCATTGTAAGGTTAGGCAATTTTAAATATAAAAATCATTCACTCCATTTTACTCTCTTACAAATACAATTAAGTTTACATAGTGTTCATCAACCACCATTGATAATTATTGTACAATCGCTCTACAAGTGTATCGTCGGATTTCGAACATTGTCGTCCCACGCCTTTGAGTTGCTCCCACACCCCATCCAAGATCATTCTAGATTATTGGTCTCTTAGCGTGCAGGACTTGACTTACGTGTGCACGGGTGTGTTCTTTATCTGTTGTTTGCGTGACCTCAATCGAAAACGAGGTCAACAGGGAATTTTGAGGCAAAAGTTGTGTATCTTAAGTCTTGCTTGATCAAGGAAATCAATGCTATGACGTTATGTGTAGAACGAGTTGACTTAGTAAAATGGTTCGATTAGAACAAGTCTTGACAGAAGTAGTCCACAAATTTTGATAGAAGTGGTTGTGGAAGGATTGAAGCATTCTAAGATTATGCAATTCATAAATATGATATTATAAGATTAACTCAATCAAATATTTTCACAAATATAACCTAATTTAAACTTGCTTCGCTAATTATAAATACTCACACAAATAAGTGATTTGATTTTTTGAATAAAATAAGCTACGAGTAGGTTTGGCTGAGCAATCCACTGAAGTAGAAATATTAGTTAAATAATAGGTGTCTAGATTGTGCATATGCCTTTCAATTTTTGAGAAAAAATATCACTTTCGTAGTAGACGAGATTATTCAACTCATTCAATTATGCCCCTTTTTTTATTCTCATTATTTTGAAAATACATTTTTCTTTCACTTCTTTTTAACTATACATTTTTCATCAATTTATTATTTCAAAATGTATTTACAATAAAATGAGGCTCAAACAGGCTCTATAATTCTTTTTGAAAAATTGGTGGGCGTGCGCGCACACATATATTATTATTTTATTTTTTATTTTTTTTTGGCTTCACATGGATTATTATTATTATTTTTTATGGACTACTTAATTATACAAATATAACTGATCTTGCTTATTACTGAGATTGCATTTGAATCCACGGTATCGAAACAATTTGCTTATTTAAGTATGGGTTCTCAATAATTTTAATATAAGTTCATGTGTAAGTTACAAAATACATAGATTTTAATTAAAAAACTTAAATATGCTACTTATTTTGAAATTAAGATTTGTTTATGTTGAAATAAATAATTTTTAACTTCAAAATAAACAAATTAAATGTTTTCGAGAAAAATTTCTTGAAATTTCCTCCTATATTGTTAGACGTATGGTCCATGGAGCCTAAACCTACTATCCACATTTTTTCTTGTATTGTACGACAAGCATATGTAAATTTCACATTAAATAATGAGTTTTTCTTTACTATCTTTTTCTATGTCATTTCTCTAGGTAAAACGTAATTAAACATTTAATTTTTAGACCCGCGTAATGTTAATTTTTGAAAAGTGATTTTGTGAAAAATAATTTTCTTGAAAAATGTTTGGTGTCAATAAGTAGAAAAAAATTATAGACAAGATATAAAATTATTTTATTAAAAGAATATATAATTAAAATAAATTTAAAAAATACTTATTACCAAAATCACTTACAAACAAGTCAATAGTAACTTTTACTTATGATAAGCTTAGCCAAACATGTTTCAACTATACCTTGGATAATATTTCCTAGGTGATAATAAATTATTGAAAATTGATATTTTTGGCCACACATTACATCCAAGAGGCAATACAAGTGGTTCAAAATTACCAACCAACATGGTGGCCCCCACATTCACCGTTCGATAACAACGTGGCAAAATCTATTTTTCCCCTGCACTGGGCGGTTATTCCAAATACATCTAAACCGTAGATCAAAGTCCACAATCTCAAAGTATTGGTTCATGTGGACCCTCTCTGAAAACTAAAATTTAGGCATTTGATTTCCAATATTACCCTTGCATTTCCTATTATTCTCAACGTGACCTAGCGCCGCTCCTCCTATAAATTCGCGCTTCTACACCATCTAGGTTTGCCAAACTGAAGAGCCTCGGGGCCCTTCAGAAAAATACAGTTACATAATCTAATCTTTGTTTCTCTAGAAATAATCTCATTCGTTCAAATGTCTACGTCTTCTAGAAAATCAAGCGGACCGGTGTTACCAATAGCGTCAACTTTTCGGAGGTCGATCTCGCCGTCCGGTCGGTTCTGCAACTCCGCGATGGCGATGTCGATATCTGAGCTATCATCGTCTTTTACGTATTCTTCGAATTCACCGAGTGGCATCTTCCAGAATCACAGGTCATCATCTCCGACGCGCGTGAATCTCCACGCGCTACCGTCTTCGTCACCGACGCCATCCGTAAGGTTCTCAATCAACAGATCTGGCTCGCCGCGGCGGTCCATGGCGGTATCACCACAGAATCAGGTGGTACGGAAGCCTACCGGTAATAGTATTTCTTTGCAGAAGAGGACTTGCTTGTGCTCGCCTACCACGCATCCCGGATCTTTCAGGTGCGCTTTGCATAAGAATAATTTTAGTGGTGGTGGTAGTGGGAATAATCATTCCATATCATATTCGCCCTACCGGTTGAACGCTAGGAGATCAGCGATGACAAATTCTCTGGTGCGGATCGGGACTGTAGAGGGCGATTTGGTTAAGCGGGCCTTGGCGGCTTTGATACGGCCTTCATCTCATCAGCAGCGCCGCCGAGTCGATTTCCAGCCGCGTCCAAGTCGTTTGTCTATCATGTCCAAAGCCGAGGATGTCTGAGAAGTCAAGTCCTTTTGGTTACAGGTTGGCTCTATTGATACAATTTTGAAAAAAGAAGTTTTCTCTACAGTGATTTCCAGCGAAGGCGTCAAATCTCGGTGGTCGTCAAGTTAAATTTCCGGTGGTTTTTTGTGCTCCGGGCAGTCAAAACACCTAAGCAATTTTGGAAACAGGAGGATCTGAAATTGACTCAGTTGTGTACATAAGATTTGCGAAATGAACTACACTTTTGGACATTTCATCACACCCATACTGCACAAGAATCTAACTAAAAAGGGACTGGATGTTTAGCAATTTCATTTAATCAAATCTGCCAATTCCAATTCAAATTAAAAAGACAATTTATTCCGACATCGTATGTTCTTTGAGACAGAATTTGGTTGTGGTTTGTCAAGTTTCTTGATATTAATTTAATCTCGTTACCAGTGTGAGTTTGCAGCGTACGTGTTCCGTTCTGTCTGCCGTTTTTGTGATCTGCGTAAAATCCGTTCTACCGTTCGCCGTCACGTTTTAGCTGTGTATTCGTCTCTGGGAAAGGTATTTCGTTATTTACTATTATTTATCATTTTTTTCGTATTTTCGTTTATAAATTAGATTTTTTTAATTATTTTTTCAGTTGTACGTTTGTTTTTAATAACGTTGCAGCTTGCTGGCATATCGTCATTGTTGTGGATTGAAGACTTGGAAGGATTTGGACCAGTTATTAGTTTTGGACTTTGGACCATCTAATTTTAACTTACCTCGACTTTGGGAGTTGGATTGGAGTTGTTCGGAAAAAAATACCTGAAAAGGTTGGATTAAAATGTTAAAATTATTGAAATTATTATGCTAATATAAGTTTTAAAAGAAAAAGGAAAAAGTAAAAGAAGGAATCGGAAGGATGATAAAAATGAAGAAAGAGGATTGATAACGAAGAATGTGGTAGCCAGCTGGATACGCGTAGATGTGGGGCAGGAGAGAATGCGTAATTACCGAAAGACTTTTGCAGAAGCTTCCTTACAAGGGATGGAATCGAGGAATATAGGTTTAGTTTTACCACTGCTAATTGCTAATGGAACTTTTCCTACGTAGAATCTCGGGTAGTGGTCGAGTTACCACTACCACGCAAATTTCTATTCTTTGCCCAAAAAGGGTGGACCAAGTTCGTGACATTTTTATTGGAATTAAAGTACATACTAGGCAACCTTTCAAGGTGGTCCCACCTGAATTTAAAATCCAATCCCTTGTATTGTGTGTGTGCGGTCATCTCTTTATTTCTTGATCACCAAAAAATTGACTTCAAGACAAATAAATTTTCAAATAAAATTTGAATTATAACAATATACTAGTGTGTGTGTGTGTTCGTGTGTAATATGTTTAGATTTTAATTGTAAGAAAATTTAAAGTTGACCGAGGTATTTAATTAAGACTTTCAAATATTTTTTTGAGAATTTAAAAAATTTAAGAGTATTTATTATAGATTTTTGACTCTTTAAAATATTGGTGTATTTAATTGAGATTTTAAAAGTCGTTATAAAATTTTAAAAAGTCTTGAAAAGTTACGGTGCATTTAATTCTAATTTTTATGTCTTCAAGTAGAGATATTCAAGTTGTCAATAACTTTTAAAGCATTTTTAAGATATCCCCTATTTCTTAAAAGTATATTTTATAATTTAGAGCAATTTTTTTTTAAGTACTTCAATGATTTTATTTATTATATTTAATACTTAATTTTACTACTTTTAAAAAATACTTAGCCCTAGTTTGAGCCTTATCTTTTTTCTTTTCCAAAAGTATATTTTAGAATAGTGTTTTTATTGGAAAATGTGATTAAAAAGTAACAAAAAATTTTAGATTTAAGTGTAAAATTATTTTATAAGAATTCTGTTGAAAATGAGTTTTGGTACCCATTTTTGTAAGGGCAAGTGCTACATGTATATAAGTATTTACATAATGGTGTCCATAATTACATGTGGCACGAAATTCAACCTTAAATTCAAATCTCACACTTTCACATTAACAATCGGATGCTTGTCATATCACATTATGAACAACATTATGTACAATAATTATATATATGTAGATTTTTCTTTTTGTAAGAATAAGAATGAAAAATATAATTGTTACGGGAATCACATAGAAGATAGAAAGTGAAATATGGTAGTTTGATATGATGGATAATGGTTATATTTTTCATTTTTGTGACTAAAGAATAGGAATCAAACGAAGCTTGAAAAAATGATTTTTTTTGAAGAAATGGGACCAAATATGAAGTGAAGATCTGTTGTCTCATTTTAGAGTCCATATCGCTTTTCATCCAATTAATTTTTGATCTGTCATCAATAATTAATATATTATCTCAAATTATTCTCATGAACTTCATCACTAAATTAATATATGCCAATAATTAATTTGATTGACATCAAAATTGGACGGCAAATTTTGACTTCCAAACATAGGCTTAATGTTTTTCTTCTCTTTTATTGAAGGAAAAAAAAAAAAAAAAACACTGATACAAGCTTTTGGTAGGGTGCTATTGTGTCATCACCTTGCTGGTTTGTTGTTCTTCTCCTTTTTCTTTTTTTCTTCCAATGGAAACCCGTCAAGTGTTATTTTTGTAAAATTTCTATTGATTTTTTCTGTACTTATAGCATTGTTATATTTTATTTTAACTAACTTCCTACTAATTATTATATTATTTTCCGCCATTGAAAATTGAAATACTCTCAATACCTTTAATTAATGGTACACCGCTGGAAAGGCTTGATGGAGAGTTTTAGGGTACCAATTATGGGCATTTTTTAAAGTATTAGTTTTGGATGTTTATGAAAAGTTCGATTTTGGGTGATTTTTTAACGATTTATAAAACGCTCCAATTAATGGTTAAAAGTTTTTTATTTGATGGTTCTAAAAAATTTTAAATAATACACCTCAGTGGATTTTCTAATTATAAATTTCTTACTCGTAAGTAATTGTTCTATATATAAGTTAATTTTTAACTTAAGTGAAATATTTTACTTATGAGTAAATGTTATGGTCATAAATTAATTTCGTACTTGTAGATAATTGATTTCAAATAAGTAATTTTCGATATTTTTTATGTTACTAGTAATATTTTTACTTCATAAAAAATATTTTTCCACAAATGTTTTTTTACCTTATAGTTTTTTTAAAATAAGTTTTGTAGTTATAAAGTATTTTTTTTCTTATAAATAATTTTTTTAGTTAAAGTATTTTTTTCACAATTTAGTTTTGAAAACTATGCGTTGTCTGAAAATAATTATTTTATAAAGAATGAAATTGAAATAAAATTCGAGGAACAATTAAAATTCACCAATTTGATGAATTGGGAAAGACGTTCAAAATTACACTACATCAATTTTGGATACTTTTTAAACTATCCGAACTGATAACAAGTATCAATTTCTTTAACCTCTTATAAACAGTGACATTCAAATGATCAAAATCTATTGGAAAAAATTTCCAAAGCCCTAACAAAATTGAAGTAACATTCAATTATGTTGATGTCAAAAATTTTACCTTCAAATACCAAATATGAACTAGAATAAGTTAGATGCGCAAGCAATTATCGAATGAAGGAATGTCACTGAAGCCTTAAATTACCTAAAACAAAAGGAAAGAACTCCAGTTTGATTCGGATTAAGAAGTCCCCTAGTTGCATTTGAAAATAGGAGTGGGCGTATTTCTGAAGGGAATCGAACCAAATCGAATATCAATGGAAATTTTAGAAATGGAACTATTGGTTCCATAGCGAGCCCGAACCGAACCAATCGTTTCGATTCGGTCCAGTCCGATTTTTTACATTGAAAATGTCAAAATAAAATGTCCACTAATAAAAAATCTAAAAATACTACCAAAGTGATACTTTTAACAACATATAGAAAAACTAAACATATTATTCAAAGATTAAAAGAAAATTAAGTATACAAATTTAAAAATAATATCCAAATAATATAAGTTACTATCATCAAACAATCATCAACTTATATAAACTGCATAATTCTCCAATGATCTATATTAATTGGACGCCCTTTAAAAATTTATTGTAACTTCTGGTTCTCTCAGTTATAATTTGTAAAAATGTAAATGAAAAGTTTCGATCGGATCAACAATTATGTAATCAAAGTGAAAACAAAATAAAATTTTCGCATCTTAGAAATGAAATTATATATTGTAAATAAATTTATTTAAGTATAGATTTACCCAATTTGGCATGAGAATTAATTAATCAAATAATTATAAGAAGAGAGAAGGAAAAAATCAAAGAAAAGAAGGAAAGTGCTGGAGTCTAAAATGAAGAAGGAACCCGATTATTTTCATAAAAGTGATTGGAGATTAAATCATATATTTTACCAAAAAAAGAAATTTTTTTTTTTTTTTTATGAAAACCGTCTAGTTCCCGACGATTCCCATATTAGAATCGAGAACCAATCAGTTCTTAATATTTTTTCTCAAAATCAAATTGGTTTTTTAGAAGATTCGGAACCGTACCAATCAATTTTAAACCTTTCCGGTCCGGTTCCAAGAAAAAGTGCCCACTCCTATTTGAAAACAAAGTATATTTGTAGTTTACCTAGCACTTAATTATCCAGTTCAAACAAAATTTTTCACAAACATTATGACCTCATTTAGGAGTCTGTCATCACGTCAAGATTTTTAGCATTATTGGAATTGTACGACGAATTTCGTGTATTAAAATATAGAAATTGTTACAAATTATATTTTGAAAAAATACAAACGATGTTAATCTTCTTGTAGTTGCAAAATTGCAAAAATCCTCTAATTAATAATCTAAATGTTTGAAGACGAGCGACCACGTGATTTAAATCCTGGTTTTTGAGAATCTATTGAGACTTGATTTGTTCGGCACTTGAATTTGATTTAATTTGAAGAAAACTTTGTTTTTCTTGAACTTACTTGATTCGAAGAAGATTTTAATGTTCTTGGTGTTTGCCGAACTTAGACTTGAGAGAATTTCTTCTTTTGCTCCGACTTTGAAATTTCTTCTGCACTTCGTAATTGTCTTTTGTACTTTCACCTCTCTGCCTCCATCTTATGGACCATTGGTCCGCCCCCAGGGCATATCTCCCAGTGGCAAAGGGGAGGGCGGATAGGGTTCAGCGCGGCAGTGTGCAGAGTTCGATTCCCCGCAAGGTGGAATTGATTTTGTTGCAAGCGGGAGTTACCATATGGGTTAACAGCCTTGGCCTATCCATGTGCTCTCCACCCTGGCTCCTGGGAGACACATCCTGCGATTTTCCTCCTCCACGATGACTCAGGGCAGGGTCGATGGGGACCCTTAGGGTTGGGGTTCAACCTTTTTTTTTTTTTTTTATGGACCATTGGTCCTATTTATAGGGAAATTTTCTTTACCAATTTTGGTAAACACTCAATTATCTTTAATTAAAAATGAATAATTGAGTAATTATGATTTATTTTATTTAATTTTTATTTATTTATGTCTTCAGGAATATTTATGCAAGTATGGTTTTATCTTCTCTGGGTTTTTATCTCTTTTCTTTTGGATTAGGATGGATAGAGGGGTTGGACTGAATGCATCCTTCTTCTTTTTTCTTTTTTTTCTTTTTTTTTTTTTGACATAACAACCCATGGCCAAAAAAGTTAAAAGTCCTCGAAAAAAAAAATGTAATTCAAGTTGTCACCCTGAATCTAAATCACATAATCTCTTCTTGTTTAAGGCACGAATTATTCAAATTGTAAAAAAATTAGAAAAAAAAAAATTGTCTCTCTCATTGTCTTAATTCTCTCTCAAGTATTGTCATGGATGATAGCCTTGTGAATCCGAAGGTCATGGAGAGGTTATTGAAGATTTCTAGTTGTAAAAGTTTGATGATTTTGTTAATAATTGAGGGTTTTGAATTGGCTCGAATTGATTGAAATTTTTTTGTTATTTTGAATAACTTCTTTTTTTTTTTTTTAATAATTTCATTCTGTAATTTTTACCTCATTCGTGATTTTTTACGTTCTTTTTTGTTTTTAAGTAGTTTCTTGTTTGAAATTGCCCCTTTTTTCTTGCTTTTTTTACATGCAGTCTTAACTTCGCTCGAGTAAATGCGTTAAAAAATAAAGTTCAAAGAAAAGAATATAAATAGGACAAAACAAAACTAAAGAAAATAATTGATCATATGAGCATGATCGATATTTATAATTTTCGTGATACTTGTTGTTTTGTGGTTCTTAATTTTTTTTTTATTTTTTTGACCTTTTTCGTTCATCTTTCCTAACTATTATAGTTTATTTTTGTCTGCCTTTGGTTAAGAATATCAATTTGGTTTACATTGAGTTTGATAATGGCATCTTGATGCTTCTATTTGCTTGCAAAAAAAGAAATGGATTTCATAATGACATTTTTCTTATGATTTCGTAGTCTTCAACTATTGCTTACACGTTTTGGGAACATTCTGTTGTCTTTCCATTTTTGCCTTTTCAAGTTAACGTGATGTGTTAAATATGAATATTAAAGAATAAATTCACTGTGCTTGCTTATTGAAATTGTCTTAAAAATTAAGGTTTTATTGTTTGTACATTCGAAGATGACAACTCAAATTACATTCACCTCAGCACATAATAAAATAATTGCACTATTGAGGGAGCTGTAATTCAAGCTGTCAACCCATGATGTACATGTAACAAAACTCCTTTTTTATTAAAGTAGTTGTACATTTCTAGTGTACATTAAGCTTGACATTATGTAATGTGTAGAAAATGTGCCAATGATTTGAAACGTATAGTTAAAATCAATGATCATGATTACAGCCATGTCAATCACAATGTACATGTAACCGATAATTTTTTTTTTCTTCCCTTCTGAAAGATGTAAAGATTGCATTGTGTTAATTTTATCCTTTTAATATTTGGATTGAAGAAGAAAATAAAAGGAATGAGTTCATTAAGTCCCCGTTTGACCCCCATTACTTGAAAATGAAAATGGGAGGAATAGTATTTTTTAGAAAAATGAGTTGTTGAAAAAGAAGGAAAAATTTTTCAATTTACGTGTAATATTATTTTATAAAAGATTTTGTGGTTGAAAATAGAAGAGAGAAAAATGTAATGTAATTGAATTTAATGGGGATCAAACGGGGGCTAATATTTGTTCCATCCAATCATATAAAATAATAGTAAATAAAATTTTGTTTCATAAGAGAATTTTATGATAATCTCTTATTCTCCAATTTACTTCCTAGATCCCTACAGAGGAACAACATTGTTGAGCTTAAAAGTTGTATGCATTGTTGTTGTTCTTATAAGTCCATTATTGTGCAGTTCTAGTTTAAAGTAATAGTTTCATATTTAACTGAGCATTATTTCATTACCATGGGGACTTTACATAGAAAGAGTTATGACTGAAAAGACCATTAAGGCCCGGTTTGATATGCAAAGTTTTCCATGGAAAATGGAAATCTTTTGCCCTTTTTCCACCTTTTTATTGTTTGATTGTACAAAATTTTCATGAAATTCACTTTCCATCTTTTCCCTACACATGTACATTTTCCATGAATTGGAGAATTGGTTCTCCAACTCCCTTTTTTTTTTTTCAGCAACGAGAATAAATTTTATCTACAATTGTAAAAAATTATATCCTTTTAATTGACAATTTTCATGAAAAATTAAGATAAACGAATACCAAAAGATCCAAAATTTCAACATTTTTTCAAGTGAAAAATTGTACCAATGAAACACATTAATTGACAATTCCTAGGAATACAAGTTCTAGACAATTTAATTCCTTGAAATTCGTTTTCTTTCTATCCAAATTTCATTCTTGTAATCAAACGGATCCTAAGATATTTGTTCATTAAGTTGACACCCTTGTTGACAGATGGATGACATGACAAGTTTGCTACTTGTACATAAAAATGATATATAAGCGATTATCGAAAATAATGTAGAGGGAAAATATTGGAAGAAAAAGTTGATTGTGTTTGGTAAATAATAGAATAACATGTGAACATCTGTAACCATTTATGTAAAACTTGATGTACATATATTAAGATCTTGAATTATATGTGTGAGATGTGGAAGATGGGAAATTGTGCTAAGTGTAAATTCGATAAGTTGGGATATAAATTAGGATGTACATGTAGTAAGATTGTTGAAAGGATATGGGGAGTTAACAAAATAAAATGATATTTGAACGCTTCAATTATTGATTTAGGTCAACCAAACCATATTTTCCCTCCTATTTACGTTACGCATGCCTGAGTCAACCACCAAAACCTACCTAATATACCAACTTGATTAAATTAATGTAATACACTTGTGTCACGTTACATATTAAATGTAGTATAAATAAATAAAGAAAAAACTCAAAATCCATTCAATTATAATTTAATACTGCATTTTGTTTCATACTCCAAACTTGTGTTAGGAATTAGGATATATAAATACACAATTTAAAAAATTTCTAGTCATAAACAAAGTGATTAGCTGTGTACACCTGTAATTATTAATGTCTGTGACCGTAACAATAATTTTGTTTATTGTTACTTATCACAAAAACTGTGGTCTTCAATAATTGAAAATATTAATGCCTCAATTATTATAATTCTTTAAATGATAATTATTTTGATGCCAACTAGAAATACAAGTTGCATGCAAATTTATTTGAGTCCAGAAGACATTATTTTCTCCTGCAATAGTAAAATAATTATCGCCTGTTACATCTTAATATTAAATAATTATTTATCCACGAAAGAAGATAAAACGATTGAACTTAGCTCTAATATATTAATCGAATATTTTACTATGTTAGAGATGATGCAACATTAATAATGTGTTAGTGAATAACATTTTACATTTCCTGGCAAATCAGGATTGGACTTCTCGACGCATTTTAACAACTGTAGTCGGCATAATTCAACATCTCACACGGTTTGTGCCAACTCAGTGCAACAAGACAAACCTTAGTTGGAGGATTCTGATGTCTTGCAAATACTTTATGCAAGTTCAATGTAGCGAAACAGGCATTGAACCCTTTCCCTAAGCCCAGAACCAAAACTATTTGCTGAGCTCCAAGGTGACCACTCAAGATTTATTAAAAAAAATAATGTTATTCATGATCAGCGACTATCATTAGTCATCCCAAATGAAAGTGTTATTTGAAACATTAATGGATGGCTAGCAACAAGTTAATACCTCAAATAACAAGTTATCACATAAAATGATTACGGGTAATCGTTGATTATGAATATCATTATTCTTCTTGAAAATGTGCAGATAAAGACTCAGCAGAGTTGACAAAATAATTATAATCTATAAGCAAGAGCTTTACGAACTACTATAACATGTACAGCTCATGAAGTGTGAAACTAGAATGTGGGGGAGGCTAGAAATATATTACTATGGCAATAATGAAGTCTATGGTTTATCACCTTCATGACCTTCAGAGAATCTAGGTGCAAGCTCTTTCGTATAAACTCGATGTTTTCTCTCTCGCCCATATATTACCCAGAAGAGTAGCGAGAGCATAACTGCAGTTGCAACCATCACTAGCCCGACATAAATCCAACTACTGTATCGTCTCAAGCCCGGACAATATGTCCCGTATATGTCTGTGAACGTTTGTCTCACAAAAGTGCAGTCCTGTAGATCAACGAGGAAAGGACCATATCGATACAATCCATAGCTTATGTTTACTCCAGCAGCCATCTGACTGTAGAATGTAGGAGTCAGACGACCAGTAGTGACACAAGTGCCATTTGGCGAAACGTCACAGACATAGTTCTTCCATACCTGCACGGCATAAAATGAGTTAGCACTTTCTTGTTATGGAATAGAATTATAGTGGTTAGCACTTGATGTGAAAGCTATGCCGATTTGCCGTTGCAAATTTTTTCACTATACAATGTTTCACACACCTTTTTCTTGTCTAAGTATAAATACCGATACAGGTGTGTAGGTAGAAAACACCCAGTGGAACGAGGCAACTTTCTCTGAGAAATTTGGCAAAATAGCCCCATAACTTTAGAAGAAGGGGTAAAAAAAAAAAAAAAAAAAACTTCAGAAGAAGGGGTGCCTTCTCACAAAGGGGACGCAGTGATTAGGCCCGGACGACTATAGACCTATTGCTGAAAAAGAAATTGCACGTGTCGAATGGATCGGAGAAGGCAGGGACACCATAAAAAAAATAAAAATAATAACACTATTCAAATCCTTTATATGCCCCTATTTGCTTTCCATTATTTTCCCATTAAAATGAAAAATATGACCGTTATCCATCACATCAAGTCACCATATTTGACTTTATATCTCTTGTGTGGGACCCGTAACGATTATATTTTTCATTCTCATTTTTACATTAATGTGTACCAAACGGGGCCTCTATGATAGAATAGAACTATAGTGACCTAATACACTTGTGGACTGCCTAATATATAGGTCGATCCGCAGTCGAGGGGGGAAAGTGAGCAGTGCAAATTGGCTTTCTGCAGTCTAATGGCCTTTTCCACTCTTGGCAACTATGTACCCGTGTATTCAAAATATATTCAAAATTCTATAAACTCCATTGATATGCCCATTTCAACTAGTAAAAAGAACGGAGTGGTTTTTTAATTCTAGATCTTAAATAGCTTTTCTATACGACAAGTTCACAAGGAATAGTTAAATACCTGAGTTGCATTTTCCAAATCGACTTCACCGGGATTACATGCTCGATCAGTCAAGTCGGGATTAAATGGATTGCAAAGAGAAGGTAGAAGTGGGCCGGACTGATTGAAGTAGAGAGTCGGAACATTCGGGGGGAAATTGATATTAGAGACATTATTGACAACGAAGTTCATTATATTAGCAAGTTGAGAAGTGACTTCCTTGCTTTTTGTTAATGTTTCTTGTGCCGTGGCATTGTCCACGCACGGCAGTATATCGTCAAGAGCTGTATGAGCCATTGGATTTTGGACCCATTGATCCATTGCTACACAAGCGTCTGCAGTCACGCTGATTTGAAAATCAAGCAGTTAGATTCAAGAAAGGATATATAAATCAATTCTAAACCAATGGAAAAAGAAGGAACTAAGCAGCAACTTATAAGAGGTAACAACAGCAAATTATTTTGATTCAATAGGTAACTAAATCAACAGCAATCATAATCATGCGCGCCAGAAAACATTTAGCCCATGTTTGGCTACTGTTGATAATTTGTTTATAATTAATCAAACCACTTTTTATCCATATAGTGTAGGATCCACAAGTACCACCTATTTATCCATAGGGATGTCAAACGCCCGGCTCGATCCCACGAGCCGAGCCTGCTCCTCGTCGAGGCTCGTCCAAAAATATGAAAAAAATTTTAAAAAAAAGGTGCAAAAAATGGAAAAAAAAATGAAATTTTTTTTTTTTAAAAAAAACATGAGCTCGCGAGTAGCTTGTGGGCTCGGCTCGGCCCAGCCCACAAGCAATGAGCCGAGCTCGACTCGTCACGAGCCCGAGCCAAGCTCGTGAGTTAAAGGGCCGAGCCGGCTCGACTCGACCCATTGCCATCACTACCTATCCATCACTCATCTTTATCTTTGCATAAATTAACCGTCATAAACAACTCCCAAAAGTGCTTTTTAGTATTTTACATCTGACGGCATCTTCTACAAATTAAACACAACTTTTTCTCAAATGCTTTATTCTGGAACCCTGAAAAAGGCTTTTAATCTGTGGTCGTAGAGATTCTGTTTGTATAAGTGACATAGAATGGGAGAAAGAAAGGAGAGATGAAAATTAAAGATTTTGAAGAGAAATTGCAGGGCAAATAATTTGAATCACTCAATATTCATATCAGTTGTCTACCTTATTCAGAAATCCCAATCCCATTTGTACTTAAAAACTTCAAATTTCAATCGAAATGGCAAGTTATAAAATTAAAAGTGGAAATTCTCACGTCAGACTAATTTGTATCCTGCATGGGCTTGGTTTTTACATTTTACTAGTAAGCAGCTGGAACAAAAAGAAAGTATTCAAAAAAAACATGGTTTAAGCTCATCTTCACAAAGAGTTCAACTTAACTAATCTGAGGAAAGCTAACATTATTCATTGCTTTCTCAACAACATTTTTCCTCGTATGATACGAATAGTCAAAGCTATAGAGTAATTAACCTAGCAAAAGGAAAAAGGTAAGAAAAAACAGTAAGAGCAATAGATGTGCATTCTTGAAAGACAACATACTTGTGAAGGAGAAGAAAAATGCCACACAATATAAAAGTTCCTGTGACAAGAATCCATCCCAAGATCACCAAGCTGCAACAAGAAGAGGAAATGAAGAAAATGTACAGGGATTTCAATACATGTAAATAACTGTCTCACTTACACGTATACAAGAAATTGCATGCCAAAAATTGAAAACACTGAAAGAGTAATTCAAAAGACAAGGTCAGCCACAAGAAGATTGTAAACAAACTCTAATTAGATTTAAATGGGAAAATAAATAAATAAATTGAGTAGCCTTGCCAAATCCAAGAAACGTCAACATAAGCATAATGGCAGATAGTATGATTAGAGCCAATCTCCTGCAAAAGCCACAAACATTAAAGTTAACAAACAAATTATCAATTTGGAATTCCATAACATAACAAAGATATAATGTACACAGTATGTGCAATCGACTTACACAGATTCTATTATATTTTTTATGTCCTTCGAATTATCTTCCGTTCTAGTGGCAAGGGTACTTGCAGAAGAGTTTATCTTGGTCTGGATTCGATCGATATCAGATTGAACGTTAGAAGGGAGAAACACTTGATCCACTCCGACCTTCTTAGCCGCAGAAAGTAATTCAGATACATTCCTAAGTTTATCAGATGCGGTATTTGCCTGGTGTACAACATATTCCAAAGTGTTTATTGTGCTGCTATGATATTTCCCCTGGCCAGTGTACAAAACAACACATCCGATGCTGAAAATGGACGGCAATAACTAATTAGTTTGACAACATGCAACGAGAGTCGCACCAATGTATATGTATGTGTATGTGTGCGTGTGAATAATTGCACGATTAGTCCCCAACCTATTGCCTGGTAGCAAGTTAGTCTCTAACGTTTCATTATTTTTGTACAATCAATGCACAATGATGGAAATAGCTCAAATTTTCATTAAACTATCACATGGCCCTCATGGACACATGCTTCGCTTCAAATATATGGGCATGGAGCCATGTCGTGAAGCATAACCTAATTTCATGAACTTACACATGCGAGTGTTACTTGGCGATTTAACATTGATTTGGACTTTTTCCGTTGTGGAGGACTGGTTGTTCAACTATAATGGAAGGTTGGGGACCAACTTACTATTGAGGTAATACATTGAGGACCAATAATGCAATTTTCCCTATATACATATATAGGTGTCTGTTTTGCGTGGAGAGAGAAGTACATTGCAGCAATGGTGAAGAGTATGAGTAGTATTAGAGAGAGCGCATAAGCAATTCGAGAATAGCCATAAGGTTCCTTTCGACAGCAACAGTGGTGGAGACAGATGATCAATAAACATAACGCGAAGAGCAAAAACCAGGCTGCCGCAATAACAAAAAATGGAGCAGCAGTAAAAGCCACAGACTGCAAAAGAAATATATATATATAAACCGAACGAAAAGGAAGTTGGATATTAAAAGTACTGGTGAATGACAGTAGAAGTAAAATATTAGACATTAAATCCGATTATAGAAAAAGTTAGTAAACACGAACAAAGGAATCAATTCATACAGCAAACACCAACTCAACAGAGAGATAAAAATAAATTCATCAAAATTTCGAAAATTGCTCAAATATATCTCTATATTTTCAGCCAACAGTATCATGAATATGCCTTACTCAATATTTCATTCCAAAATATTAAGACTTCCAGCTGAATTTCACCCCTAATTTGAAGCAAACTGAAATAATGTAATGTGAGTACCTTATAAAAAATATTTTAATTGCTAATTTAGATTTCATTTACATATTCTAAGTTAAAAATTACAATGACAGAAAAGTGTTGCATTTATAAAGTATAAAAGCTAAAGTTGCATAATATTTTATCAAAAATCTGTTTTTGTTTATATGATGACTCTATACCTTGTAAAGACTAAAGTTGAGAAAAAAATCAATTATATGATTAAGTCGTGACCAAATACAGGTAAGATAACGATCTTTGAAGACTTTAACATGATTCCTGGCCAAGATTTGCCCAAACATCCTGAAATAATGGTATGTATGCACATACATACAATATTTCTCTGGTTTTCAGAGCATCAGCAATCGGAATAAGCATAAACTGAATTAGTCCTAAAATATTCCCAGAAATTCTTTCTCTCTCCCGGAATTTACTAAAAAAATCAAAATTAACTACAGATTATATATTTTACAAATAAAAGATGAAATCTTTGAAGAACTTACAGCCCAGTAATGGCGTTCACTAATATTCCAGCCTCCTCTATATTTCTTGAAATTATTTAGAGGATCTTTTCTGTACGTCCTGTTTGCAGCCAACGCAAGAGTTGAATTCACTGGAGGCTCATCGGATTCAGCAAGAAATCTTTCAGTTCTCCCCCAAGAAAACACCATCCCGCTATTTCTCTCCCCATATTTCCCTAAAAAATTCCAAGAAAATCATTATCAAAAATTTTTAAAACCATTACACACACACACACACACATATATGGTTTATATATATATCAAAGTGTAGTACCTGAAGTAGCGGGAAAACAAGCCTGTTCTCCAACACCAAGTGAAAATGAAAAGGGAATACAAGAGAAAAGTAGAAATGCAGTTACAAGGCAAAATAGCAGTGATTTGAAGCACAACATTGTTTGAACACTACAAGGCTCTGTTTCTTGAAGAAAGGTAAACTCTTGCACAAAATTTCTGCAGATTCTTGAAACTATGTTATGGCCTTCAAATAATATTTATGTCAGAATTCCTGCACACAGACGCGGAAAGAAAGCGGATTTAGGCAGTTGAATAGAAAGAGGGAGAGAATAAATGCAGGTAGCAAATGGATGTGTGTCGGGGACGCTTTATTTTTAGGAAGTTACGCGATAACTACACGGCTCTCACTGAACTTGTAACCATAACCAAGTGATGAAGGAAAATTCTTGTGTTTTTTCAATGTTAATAGGAAAAATTGCAGTATTGGTCATCGACCTATAAGAAAAACTTGACTTCTTAAAATTGGACCAATAAGGACTATTGTATAATTGGATGGTTATCTTCAATGTTTAGCTTCAATGAGAATTGATAGTGCAACTATGCCCGTGTATGATCTCCATTTTGAAGGAATGAATGAATTTTGAATGGTAGATTGACGAATAATGTGTAATTAAAAATTTAAAAAAATTGGATTCGCGTGTAATATTATCATATTGAAAAATGTACAGATGAAAATGAGTTTTGAAAAAAATGAATTTTTAGAAGAATGGGCTCAAACAAGGGCTATCATGAAAAGTTGAGGGTCAATTTGCTACAGAAATATTGGGTTGGGGACTGACTGTTAATACCACTTTTTCATATATGGCCCCTATTTAGGTTAAATTTTTTCAAAATTAATCTTCAACAATACATTCTCCCATAAAATAATATTACGAGTACATTAAAAAAAATATTTTTTAATCACACATTTTTTCCTAAAATCTCATTTTAATGGAGTCCAAACAGGAGTTTAATAATAAATTGTGGTTGACAATTTATTTCACTAAAACTATTCAAAGAACAATTAATTGAGTTTGACTTGCGCCATATCGAAGTAATTAGTGTGATATGAGTTGGATGATTAAGAACTATTGATGTTAATCAAATTGATTTTTATTCATCATTTCATCTTTAGCGTGCATTTTTGTCCCTTAAAGTTTTCATTCATTTTTAAGTTCTTGAAGTAAAAGCATTCTCGTGTGAACATTATATTTTTTATGGATTAGTTTATGCTTGACATTCATTTCTTAAAATTCATTTTTTTGCCGCACATTTCATAAAATTTATAACATTTCAACCACGTGTGGCATCAAATCTTATCAAAATCTGCATATATTTGATAAGTGTTTATGACATGTGAAAATAATTTATGAATATGTAGATAATACTTATAAGTTTTACGAAATATGTGGATGAACTTGCCAAACATGATCATGATGATCTTGTTAATCAATGATGTTGGGTTGAAATTATTTGAAAGTACAATCAATTTTGTTTGACTTCCACCATATACAACTAATTAGTGGGATTTGGAAGGGATTGGAGTGATTGAAGTCTAAAATTCAAATTAGCTTCTAATTATCGTTTCATCTTTCGAGAAATTTATGGACTTATTTGATAAGATATTTATTTATATAGCACCAAGCAAAGCAATTGATATAAGTTCAATTTTCTATTACTTCTAATAATAGTTAAATACATCTTGTAAACGTAATTTCAAATTCGAAAAGGCTCAGTAAAAGTTGAGTTACATTTCGATCTAACAATTAATTTAATTGAAGTTTTGTCGTAAAGGTTCAGTAATACATGTGATTTAACAAAAAGACAAGCAAGAAAAGGAAGTGCGTAGATTTCTGTAATTTGCTTAAGTTGTGCGCAAGTGGAGAATGTTCCTGTAAATAAAAGGAAATTCGGAGGGAACAATTCCCTTGTCGGCTTGAATCATGGAGTGTATTTTTTGCTCTTCAAAAGTGGCCCCAATAACATTATTTTTCTCCATATCACACTTGACAACAAAAGAACTATTATCCACGTCTTCTTCTCTCCATCTTGATCTCGTCGTGGTTTATTCGTTACTTAATCATGAATCCTCTTAAGAAAATATCTATAATGGGTGAGGAAAAAATTGGTATTCTATATTTTCGGCACCATTCAGCCTATCGAAAGCGTTGGCCTCGACTTGGCCTATATAATTTTAGTTGTATTAAGACGTGCCAATACACTTGCATAAAAAGTCATATTAATACACGAGTATGTTTGAAATGAGAGTTGACCCAATGAATTGGGTTTCAATGTAGTCACAGAATTGACTATTGGGTGATATAAAATATGTTGCAATATTATTCCGAACTATAGGTTTTAAACAAAGAAATGACAATTTGTGTCACCTAAAAGTCTCAATCTTGATTGTCATCAACGGCAAAAAGTTATATATCGTTCGCATTTGCTGCTTGCTCTTCATCTTGAAATATTACCTTTGTAAGCATAGCTCGGTCATTTATTGGTTCAGTTATCGTTTATTTCTTATAATCCTATTGATTGACATCTAATCTCCATCGAAGTGCTATAAGTCGGCTATCGTTATTGATGTTTTTTACATTCGTGTTTCACAAATGCTTTATCTAAGAGACAATGAGACATCATTGTAGAAAAATACTTGATATTAGATTAAAAAGAAAAGATATTTACATAAATAGAGACTAGAAAATATATTTTTTCTCTCAGTCTCTCTCACGTTGACTCACAGCTCATATTAATGATAACTTATATATATATGTTTATTTGTGTGGACAATACAAATGTATGGATTCAAATAATTTGTGACATCTGCACTTGAAAGGTGGCGAGGTTTTGTTCCCTCCTACTTTTCAGTTTTCAACACTCATTTTTGGTTTAAATTTGTTTAACATTAGGCCTCTATCGGTCTACCGTTCAAAATAATTTTTTTTTTTGGAGAAAATGAATTTTAAAATAATGATATTTTAAAATAATGTGAATTAAAAAATAATTTTTTTTAAGTTCACGTGTAAAATATTTTATTGTGTGAATGTATGATTGAAAATAAGTTTTGAAAAAAATTAATTTAATGAAAGACAAACATGGACTAAACGTTGTGAAAAGTAATAGTAAATCAGCATCTACTAGTTAAAAACAAAAACGAAGGCACTGACCTGTTGAATATTGGCATTGACAAGGATCATGAACCGATGGTGGTTAGTAAACAAATTTTAAGGACACGTTTGAGATTTTTATTTTTACTTTTGCTTTTTGTAGAATTTTTTTTTTATAGGTAATTTGTAGAATTTTTTTTTGGAAGAAATTACCTTTATTTCCTTTGGAAACTAATTTTTAAACAAATTCCTATTCTAAAAGTGCTTTTATAAGAAGTCATATTGGAGCAAGTTTCCTTTATTTTCTTTGGAAACTAATTTTTAAACAAATTCCTATTCTAAAAGTGCTTTTATAAGAAGTCATATTGGAGCAAGTTTCCTTTATTTTCTTTGGAAACTAATTTTTAAACAAATTCCTATTCTAAAAGTGCTTTTATAAGAAGTCATATTGGAGCAAGTTTCCTTTATTTTCTTTGGAAACTAATTTTTAGAACTTTCTATTTTAAAGTGCTTTTATAAAAAGTCATATTGGAAAAAGTACTTCTAATTAGAGCTTTCATAAAATTAATCAAACGAGTTCAAAATAATTTTTGAATCTTAAAAACTCATTTTGACTTTTCAAAAGAGGTTCTTCTTGGAGTACATAATCCATTATATAAGATTGTCCAAAATGAACATCAGGCACCTTCTCCAATATACCCCAAGAATAATCCTTTCAAAAATCATGTCAAATAAGCCATAATTTAATATTAGAGAATTGCACGAAAACTAATAAGTTAACTTTTCATCCAATTCTAAGTCAACTACACATAAAGCATTGATACTTAGCTTTATGCTCACCCATCGATTCAAACGTTCAATTTGACTTTTCAAATGTCATACCAAATGAGTTCTAACTTAGGATTTGAGAATGGATCGTGCTATATGTAAATAATTATTTACCTAACCGTTTACATACTACTCATATCATTTGAATGAGACCTCGATTCGGATTATTAAATTACACATAGGGCCCGCATTTTGAAATGGCCTGTAGACATGTTTATAAGCTCTGAATATATATGTTGGATTATGGCGATATGATTTTGGGTTTCGATATATTATATGATCGTGTCATAGGTGATTATAACAAACTAAAAAAAAAAAAAATATATATATATAAATATATATATATATATATATATATATCCTAAACTTAAAATCTACATTGTCCTCAATGTCCTAAAGCAAAATTAAAAATATAAGGGGGCAGGGAAGAGAAGAAAGATGATACTCCTCGAATTTTTCTATGGAATGTGTGAGGTATTATGAGTAACAGCTAGACAATTTCTTTTATCATGCTTTTCCTTTGGTTTATGTTGGTTTGAGTGTTCCACGACGTCATGTTCAGGCATACAACAATCAAGTTAAATATTAAAGAACAATAATCTAGAACATGTGCTATTTTGCCCAAATAATTGAAGTAACCAACAATAAATTTAAGGGTCAAAAAGAAAACACAATAGAATTGCGACATCTTATAAAGTTAAACGTGCCTAAGCCTAATGCAAATTAATAATCAAAATAAATATATATGTAGTGTAGTACAGAAAGCAAAATAAATAAAAGAGTTATGAAATTGGGTTACCTCTCAATATGCTCTTGGTTTATAGTCTTTAGTTAGACTGTATGGAGGACTTGATCATGGTGCTTTAAATAAATGTCTTGAGCCCTTGCGTTCCTTGCAATTTCTAGCTTTACATCCTCTTATTGCCCTCCAAACCTTGAACTCTCTTTTCTTCCATTGTCCAAGGCTTCCTAAATTTTTAGGCTTTGTCTCCTTCGATCCTTGTTATGCTGTCTCAACAATATACTTGCATTCTTCCTTAACCTTTTCGTTGATCTCTTCATGTGCTGTTCTCGATAGTAGTGTAGATCTTGAACTTCTCTTGTTGATCATCTACTCTCAATGTTAGTTTTCCATTTTCAAAGTCCATGATAGCTCAACGTGTTGATAAAAAAGATCTACTCAATATAAGTAATGCTATATCACATGCCTCCTCTATATCTAGGACAACGAAATCAACAAGGAATATAAATTTGCCCAATTTAATGAGCACATTCTCAGCCACTCCTCATGGGTATGTCATTGATCCGTTCGTCAATTGAAGGGAGACAGATGTGTCCTTCAACTCTTCCAAACTTAAGTTCTTTTATATAGAGAAACGTAACCTAATACTTGAACCTGAGTCACATAAGTAATTAAAATTCGAATCTTTTCCTATTAAGCAAGGTATTTTG